TCATGCCCATAGTGTTCATAGGCATCCCTCTCCCAAAAAATGCTGGATTCACGTGAGGAGCTACACCAGGCAAACCCACACTTCCAACTGGTGGAAATGAAGACAGAATCCCTGAAAATGGAGGGGTTGGGGCACCAGGAAATCCACCATAACCACCCATTCTTCCCATAGGCCCTCCGAAGCCAGGGTCAAAGCCTTGGCCCATCATTGTTTGAGGATGCATAAGGGGAGGAGTTGGACCAATGCCCTGCCCAAATCCATTCCCACCATTCCCCATCATACCCCGTCCACCCATTCCACCACCCCTACTTCTCATTGGATTCATAGCTCCCCTATTGCCCATCCCTTGAGCATTACCTCTACCCCAATTTCCTCTCCCATACGCTCTATTATTTTCACCACCACCCTGGTAATTACCACCTGTTGCAATGTTGCTACCACCAGGCTTACCCGGCTGATCTCCAGTCCCTCTCCTACCTTGAGTAACAGTAGATTGAGCCATTTGCTGATTCCTGTTCACCTGAGCCTCACCCATCCTCTTGACAGTATAGGGAGAGGCAAATGCAACAACACATGGTCTGCCATTAAAGAGATGCCCATTCATTCCCTCCTTACATGCAGTGGCAGCTGCGGGATCATAAAACTCAACCTGGCAATACCCTTTTGACTTCCCACTAGCCTTCTCATCAAAAAATTTCACCTCTTTCACAGGCCCATACTTGCTCAATTCACTCTCGAGCTCAGCATCTGTCGTCCACCAGTGCAAATCACCTACAAAAAGAATAGTCCCTTGGCCACCCCCAGCACCAGCCCCACCTCCACCACCGACAGTGCCACCAACATTGCCATACCCGTTTCCACCAGCTCCATTTACATTTGCACCTCCTGGCCTCACTGTGCCCTCAATTCCACCCATATTTCCTACACTCCCCATGTTTCCTACAGGACCTGCTAAGCTACCACCAGATGGTGCATGATGATGTGGAGGAGGCTGCTGGTGAACCATACCCCCTTGATTCACAACACTATTGCTAACAGTTTGCTCTTCTAACTCACCTGCCCGCTTATTACTCGAAGGCTGCCCTAACTCAACCCTCAGCCCACCACCACCGCTAGATGTCCCAGTGGGACCACCTCCAGCACCAACACCTGGTCCCCTAAACACCATATTTTGCTGCTGCTGCTGCTGCGGCTGCTGTGGCTGCTGCTGATATCCATCAACAACTCTACCAGATGGCGCCCTAACAGCAGTAGACCCTACCTCATCTCTCTCAAAGTTCCTCTCCTCCCCTCCTCCTCCTCCTCCTCCTCCTCCTCCTACAACACCACCACCATCCAGCGCCCTTTGCGGTGGAGGAGGCAACGGCAGCGCCTGCGAAGAGGGATTCCCAGCCATCTGAACAACCCTTTTCTCAGACAGTCCCTCCTCCTTTCGAACCCCAAAATCCTCAGTCTTTCTAATTGACTGAAGAAAATTCTCCCCGACATTAACATCGTTATAAAGATCCTCGTAGTCATCGTCCTCTTCCCCAAGAAAACCCTCGTCCGCAACGGCCGAGATCGCTTCGTTCCTGTGGAAGTGGTGGTCGTTCGGATCTCCACCGAACCCGCCTCCACCTTCGTTCTCCTCCATGTCTTCTTCCCCTCTTTCTCACAAAACCTAAGGTTAGGGTTTCAATATTTTTTCCCCCAGCTACATAAGTTTCTAAGAAAGCCCAAATGAATACCCAAAATTACAAGAAACTACTGAACCAGACACTAAAAGGAAAAGGAAAAAAAAAAGTACAGAAGAAGGGGGGTTTTGAGGATCTTACCAGAAGAGTGAAACGGAGTTTGGGGAAGAAAGCAGAAAGAAACCCTAATCCGGAAAGTCGTGTTGTGACTCGATTTTGATTTGTACTCGTAGTACTTGTATTTGGGGAGGAAAAAAAAAAGGCAAAAAAGTAAAGAAGAATGGAGAGAGGGAGACGCCAGAGCTATCTATTGGACGTCATAGTACACTGGACTACTTGAGTGAGTATGGTTACGTTGCGAATTCTCCGGTGTGCCACGGTGCATGTGCCCCTGTAGCACAATACCACACTACTTGCACCTCCAAAAAAAAAAAAAATCAAAAAACGCAAATAACCTCATACTAAAAATATTTTTGCTCTATTGCGATTACCAAATAGGGATATAAAGGAGTTTAATTAACCACGTTAGTTGCACTCTAATATTTAAATTTATTTGATTATTTTGATGAATTTATAATTATATTCAAATTTAGTTTATTTATTTTTATCGAGTTGAATTCAAATGAATTTTTATCGGACCGAACTCGAGTAACTTAAGTCCCTTTTGGATTGCTACTTTTTGAAATTTTTATTAAAAAAAATGTAATACAACGATTTGATTTATATGGGGTCAAAAAGATAATTTAAAAATGTGCTCACTGAAAATATAATAAATTTTTTTGAAAAAATTGATAATCCAAACAAGGCCTTAAATTTTTTAAACATAAATTATAATTTTATGGTAATCGAGTCAAGTTTAAGTCAACTTTGAAAAATTTACGAAACACAAAATGTTATTCAAATTTAATTTGACTAGTTACTTGAACGAGTTGTTATTGAATCGGATGCAATTCAAATATCGAGGAGTTTAGTTGTCCTTCAACTCTATCACTAAGAACAAGTGTGGATCAAAGAATAAAAGGATATACATAGCATGAATTAGGATTTACTCCTAGCAATCTGGTTGAACTTCGGGACCAGAGGGATTGCCTAAGAAGTTGATATATCCATCAAATATTACGGCTCCGATTGGATTAGCTATTTTTTTTGGGTATTTTTAAAAAAATTTACTGTTGCAATGTGTATGAAAATTTTTTACTATAAAATTTTTATGAAGTATTTGATATATTATATGGATAAAATATTTTTTAATTTGTTGTGTATTACTGTAGTATTGCATTTGAAAAACTTGTTTTTACTGCACATCTAATAAGTGCAAGTTGTGATAGAATTATGGACAAGTATACTCGATTTTGGTCCAATCCACATAGTCGTCGTCACATTCCTTTTAGAATTTAGTACAAACTTACATACACAATTGTATCAATACTACATTGTTGTATTGATAGGATGAACAAAATATCACGCGTATAATAAATCTATACTATCTATAAGAAGCACTTGCCCCTTGTACTGTTGCTCGAATTTCGAGTGCATCCGCCTGCTTTAGGCTGTTGTACCTTGGGCTGCTGGTTTGTACGTTGAAGGTATCCACTTGATGCCAGTGTTGCTGGTTTGTGCGTTGTTGCTGCGACTCTTGGTGGACTCTTTCACTGCGGTGGACTCTTGGTGGACTCAATGCGCTTGGTCCATGCTATTGTACATTGAGTGGTCCCACTGCTGTAATTTGTACATTCGACTGCTGGTTGTGCAGCTGGCTTTCATAGGTTCTGTTGTACTTCACAGCTGTGTGAATGGATAAGAAGCACTTGGCCCTTGTACTGTTGCTCGAATTCCGAGTGCATCCGCCTGCTTTAGGCTGTTGTACCTTGGGCTGCTGGTTTGTACGTTGAAGGTATCCACTTGATGCCAGTGTTGCTGGTTTGTGCGTTGTTGCTGCGACTCTTGGTGGACTCTTTCACTGCGGTGGACTCTTGGTGGACTCAATGCGCTTGGTCCATGCTATTGTACATTGAGTGGTCCCACTGCTGTAATTTCTACATTCGACTGCTGGTTGTGCAGCTGGCTTTCATAGGTTCTGTTGTACTTCACAGCTGTGTGAATGGACAAGAAAAAAAAGTTTTTTCTCTTCAGATTAAATAATTAACTCCACTTATGAATGATTATATTATGATTATTAACTTCATTTAAATGATAATCAATGTTTAGAATATGGAATGTGAACAACATGTGGAAAAATATTCAGCAATTTAATCAAAATGCTTAATTTTTGTAATGTGGAAAAAATTCGAAGAATGATGATGAATATAATAATTGGAGTCCATACTATATATAATTTTGTGTAAGTCATACTATATACATTTAGATATGTTACCAAATTATTGAAGAATTCGGATCTAAAAAAAAAGATTCATCAATTGCCTTGATGTTATATATAATTCTAATAAATTCTAATATAAGAATCTACATAAACTTATATTTATATTTGAATTTAAATATATAACCATGTATATTTATATTAAGTGATAATATATAGATTTAGATATATATTTTTAATAAATATTTTTATATAGATATTTGATAAACATGAGATATACTTTACTCTTCAATTTTGACCACAGAGTTCAATCATGTGTCATAGGGGTTAAATCACTTGTCTGCCACTACCTTCTATTTTTTACTCTTTTGGCCATTTAGATGCTCATTTTGTGGACCGATTTCTTCTTAAGCTCGGCTATATTTGTCATTTCCACTTCGTTGGTCTCGGTTTTCCATATTTGTTGTTTTTTACTCATCAACGATCAATATACATAGCTAACACGAATTGCATGCAAACAGTTTCCTACATTAACAGAACCAGTTTACATGCAAATTGCAGTGCATTTTACATCTTACAACTTGCTTCACACAGCTAGCTTCAGATCAAGTATTTTCTTATCCTCATCCAAAATTACTTCAGATGAGCTGTTCAGTTGTTTCATGCTACTAGAATTTTCTTTTATCCCAATCTGTACTCAGGTGGTGCAAGTTTCTTATAATACGCAGTAGCAGAGGTACTTTGATCAGCTTCATCTGCTATATCCATGGAGGTGTTCTACTCTTTTTGCTTGGTTTAACTGCTTTTCTCTTGTCTTTTAATATATTTAGTTCATAGCTTACTCCATCTGTATTCATACCCTCGATGCTTTTTAGCTGAGTACTTTGTTCCTTGCGCATCACCACATATACCCATCAACGATATATGTACAAATAATATATATCTGTGCATGCGGCTAGATTTTCCTCTGTCTATTTTTTTTTCTCCCTTCGTCTATGCTTATAAAAAATATGAGCTACTCCAAACTAAGCGTAAGGGATGATCCTGATAAACTTCGTGAGAAAAGGGAGGACCGAAATCGTAAAAAGAGAGAAAAATTTGCTGCTCTATCTGTCGAAGAGAAAGAAGCTCAGCGGAAAAAGAGCAGAGAAGCTTATCACAGGAAAAAATTGGAAAAAATAGTTTCCAAGTCCTTGCCACAACAATTTGAAGAGGCTTGTAAATCACCAGCTTCTGCATCTGTTATACGTAGCCTTCCTACTCAACAATCTTCTCATGGTACATAGTGATTCAAAAACTCTTATTGTATTCTGATAATCTGTATGTCCCTAATATGTTCACGATAACCTGTATATTTCCTTTACTTTGTTCATGGTTAGGTTTCAATGATAAACTCAACCGACCCATTGCTTCTCAAATTTCCAAACACAACAACAATGTTCATGGAATTATTGGTTGTAATCAAGGTTAGTGACAGTATTTACCAGCTTTTCTTACAATTTTAACCACTAGCTTTATGTATAGTGAACTGAAAATTTTACTAGATGACCTTCAGCTCATTCACGGAATGAAGTCTCATACTCTCATTTTGCACAACACTTTATAGGTACCAATTCTATGTATCATGAATCAATAAATTCAGCTAAACTTAGTTCTGCATATATCTGTGTTTCCTGCTACATTATAGTCATTTAGACTCTCCACTGTTTGTTACCCTATTTCAATTCCATTTGCTTTTTTATAATAATCATATCACCAGTTTCAACTCTATTTATTGTAATAGGTGCCTCAAAAGCTGGTATTCGAATTTCTCCCTCTTCAAACAACAATACTCAATTATCTTGTGCTGAGTTGGGTAAAAAATTAAAGCAACAGATTTCTTCATTCTCAACCTATGAGAAAGGTATATGGTCTGCTTTGTTTTTAATATATCCTTGCTACTCAAATTATAAACTCTATTCTATTGATACAATAGTCCACCCCCAATTTTTATACGCAGGATCTACTTCTAACTGTGCTACACAACATACATGTGTACCTACTGACATGATACAAAATGCAGGTGATTTAAGCTTCAAAGTTGATCATTGATTGTTGTTCATAATATATAACCCTCAAGATTATCACCATCAGCTATATTAATAATCTTGTTTGCTTTTCAGATAAATCATTCATATGCATGAACTGCTACAAATTCTTGACAGAAATAGCTCAAGAAACTTCAGGTCATAAACCTTTTTTCAATTTTTCCAAAAAACTCCTGATCTTATTGTGTCTAACAATTTCATGAACTTTATCTCCAATAGATTTGTCAGCTATCCTCCCAACATACCAGGTGTATGAAGTTCCTCATAATCGTTCTGCTAGAAGAAGGAGAAATGCAGGTTACTAGCTTTGATGTCAATTTATTACCTTGGCCATAGAACAACTGATATCAGCATATCAGCTATTTGACAATTATCATAAGATTGTCATTTTATTCTCAATTTTGTTCTGTACCTACAAACTTCTTATTTCTAACCATAGTTCTTTTATCACATCATAACCAGAAATCCTAATCATTTTAAATATTGTTCTTCTACTCTCATACAATCTATTCCCGTAATACTACATTCTCTGACTGGTTCATAACATCAGCTTCACATGTCTAACTAACACTTCTATTATATAACCTCAAACCACTTCTGTTCATGCAAATACCTTGATCATGTTGGTAACAGTACATATAAAAAGCTTATGGTTTCTACTTCTAATTATATATACTTGAATCATTCAGGGAGAAGCCATTCATCAGCCAAACAAGTGAAAGCTGTTAATAACAAAAAGAACAAAAACAGAGGTACACATTACAAACCACTGTCGTTCCTCTTCTACTCCCTCATTTCCACTTCCAACCTTTACTTTAGCTAAACTAATTGGTAATTCTATAGGTAACCAACCTATTGATGGAGTTCATGCACTCCAATTTATTACTGGTCAAGCAGATAGATTACCTTCAAAAGCTGATTGCCAATACTGCGGAGCAAAAAAACTGTACTCTGAGACACCTAATTTCTGTTGCTCTGATGGACAAGTAGTTCTACATGAAAATAAATTACCAGATATTCTTGTGGAATTGTTCACTGGTCACTCTGATGAAGCTTTATCCTTCCGCACATATGTTAGAACATATAATAATATGTTTGCGTTTACCTCTTTTGGTGTCCACTATGATAAATCGCTTTGCAAGAGAACAAATGGCATTTATACTTTCAAAGTTCAAGGCCAAACCTATCACTTTATCAAAGACCTTATTCCACATGGAGGATCTGGATTATATCTACAACTGTATTTTCATGATACAGATCATGAGCTTGAAAACAGAATGGCAGTTTCAGAAAGATTAACAGAGACTATAGTAATGAAGATCATGGAAGTCATGAAGTCTAATCCATATGCATGTTTTCTCCGCAGTCTAAGAAATGTTCCAAATTTAGATTCATATCAGATAGTCCTGAAATCACATTCACAAAATGATCAGCGAGTGTTCAATCACCCAACAGCTTCTCAGGTTGCAGCTCTTTGGACAGAAACAGAAAGTTCAGGAACAAGTTATGGAAGACACATTCAAATTTATACAAAAGAAGGAAGGGATCACCTCGTGCAGTACTACTATGGCTGTTATGATCCTCTGCAGTATCCACTATTATTTGCACTTGGTGAAACAGGCTGGCATTCTGGGATCAGAAGATTTGTCAGAGAAAATCCGAAAAAGAGAAAAAGATGTATTCAGAGGAACAAATCTACTGCTCTACTGACCAATTACAAATCTGCTGAAGATATTATATCTGCTGAACAACAAGGTAATCCTAACATGAATGACTAACAGATTATCTATATTCAAATGACTATACATTACTTATATGCACTACTCACATGTGTTACTTATATAATTACTGGTGTTCAATTACTTCTTTTGAGAACATACTACTTCCATTATTTTCCATTAAGCTCAGATGGTATATCTTATCAATCCCTCGAACTTGATATGTTGAAACCAATAACTGATACATTATTTTTGAAACTTTCAGTCTCCAATGATGCTGAAAACAACGGTGAATTTGTCTCAATGCGAGAATATTATGCTTACAAATTGCAGATGAGGGACAAATATTGCCCGAACATACTTAACACTGGTAGATTACTTCAGCAATATGTTGTGGATATGTACATCAAAATTGAAAGTCAGAGATTGGATTACTATAAGAGCAAACAAGAATTTATAAGAAGAGAGCAGCTACAAGGCGTAATGGACAGCGTTATAACAGGTCAATGCCAAGCTTCAAAAATAGGCCAGCGAGTGGTGCTTCCAGCTTCATTCATAGGAGGCCCTCGTGACATGAAAAGGAGATATGTTGATGCTATGGCTTTGGTGCAAAAATTTGGGAAACCAGATTTGTTCATTACAATGACTTGCAATCCTTCATGGCCAGAAGTAAAAAATCTCATGCTTCCAACAGATGAAGCACATAACAGGCCGGACTTGCTCAGTCGAATCTTCCATGCAAAACTTGATGTTTTAAAACAGGAGTTATTCAAGAAAGAAATATTTGGATCAGTTGCTGCTTATACCTATGTCATAGAGTTCCAGAAACGCGGTCTACCTCATGCTCATTTCCTCATAATTTTGAAACCATCTTCAAAACTTTACTCCACAGATTCTTATGACAAGATAGTTAGTGCAGAGATTCCAGATCAAAGCAAAAATCCACATCTTTTCAACATGGTTCGTAGACACATGATTCATGGCCCCTGTGGAAAAAGAAATCCAACCAATGTTTGTATGCAAGGAGAACATCAGAGAAAATGCAAGAACAATTATCCAAAGCCATTTGCTGATAAAACTTTTCATGGAGATAATGCATATCCTACTTATCAAAGAAGAAACAATGGATACAAAATGATGGTCCGTGGACATGAGGTTGATAACAGATGGGTTGTTCCATACAGTCCTTACCTTCTTGCAAAATTCAACTGTCATCTGAACGTTGAAATCTGCTCTACAGTCAAGGCAGTCAAGTACATATACAAGTACATCTACAAAGATCATGACAAGATTCATTTCCAACTCAGTTCACAAAATTCTGATGGACCAAATTCTGATGCTTATGTCTCTGCAATTGATGAAATCAAAGATTATCAGTCAGCTAGGTGGGTATGCGCTGTCGAAGGTATATGGAGGATATACAGATTTCTGCTATTTCAAATACATCCTGCTGTTATTCACTTGCAGCTTCACTTAGAAAATTGTCAACCATTGAATTTTAGAGAAGACCAAGATCTCCGTGATGTAGTAAGAAATAGATTTGCTAAGAGAACCATGTTGACAGAATTTTTCTACACGAATTCTGTTGATCCTCTAGCTCAGAACCTCAAATGTACCTACAAACATTTCCCTGAGCACTTTGTTTGGTACCCAGGAAGGAGAAAATGGGAGCCAAGGAAACAGAAAGACTGTATAGGTAGGATAGTAGCAGCCAACCCAATGGAAGGAGAACGATACTTTCTCAGATTGCTCCTTACACATGTCGAAAGTCCAACTTCATTCGATCACTTGAAAACAATAAATGGAGTATATGTACATACATTTCGTGAGGCAGCAATTCTCAGGGGTTACTTTGAGTCTGATAAGCCCCAACAACAGTGCCTTGAAGAAGCTACTGTCTATCACATGCCATATAGTTTGAGAAGATTATTTGCCACACTACTTGTTCATTTTCCTCCTTCAAATCCCAGATATCTTTGGGAACAATTTCAAGAGCCATTATCTGAAGATATCAGCAGAACTCCACAAATATCAGTTGATCAAATCCGCTTCCAGGTATTGTACCAAATAAATGAGTTCCTACAATCAATGGGAAAAGACATCAATCAGTATGCTTTAGTTCCAAATACCATGAATTTTGATAACTTGAACAATAACACTCATGATATGATAGCTGAAACAAGAATCTCTGTACCAGAGCATGATCTATTAGCAATTGAGCAACTAAATGCTGATCAGAAAAAAGTTTTTGATATTATCATGCATGCAGCTTTTGTTGAGAAAAAAGGAGCCTTCTTCATTGATGGACCAGGTGGAACGGGAAAAACATTCCTCTATCGAGCACTACTAGCAGAAATTAGGTCAAAAGGATACATAGCTCTTGCCACAGCATCCTGTGGAGTTGCGGCATCGATTCTGCCAGGTGGAAGGACAGCTCACTCAAGATTCAAGATACCAATTGGTGGAACACAAGATAAGCAATGCAAAATTAGTAAACAAAGTTCATTAGCAAAACTGCTACAGTCTGCAATTCTGATAATCTGGGATGAAGCTCCAATGACACATAAGACTTCAATAGAGAGTGTTGACAGGATTCTGAGGGACATAATGGACTGCAATGATTTGTTTGGATCAAAGGTTATTATTTTTGGAGGGAATTTTCGTCAAGTCTTGCCAGTAGTCACAAAGGGATCAAAATCTGAATTTATTGATACAAGCATAGTCAACTCATATATATGGCCACGACTACATAAGTTACATCTCACTCAAAATATGAGAGCAAGATATGATGCGCAGTTTACTGAATATCTACTTCGCGTCGGAAATGGAACACAGCCACTTATCTCCAAGAATTCTATCCAGATACCTGTATCAATGCTGATAAGATACACCAATGAAGAAGAATCAATGAATGCACTCATCCGGACAGTATTCCCAGATCTAAATGCTTTTTCCCAGGACAATTTCTCTGCAATTAATCGTGCTATTTTGACAACAAAAAATGACTTCGTCGATGAAATCAATCAGAGGCTCATTGTACACCTACAAGGAAAACTGCAAGAATATATCAGCCGAGACAAGTGTATAGATAGCTCTGAGCAGACAATCATGGAAGATTTGCTAAACAGTTTGACCCCAAATGGTTTTCCCCCTCATAAGCTGCTTCTGAAACCATACTGCCCTATCATGTTACTCAGAAACATTGATCCACCTAAGGGATTATGTAACGGCACTAGACTAATATGCAAATCATTGAGCTCCAATATTATACATGCAGTCATAACATGTGGAGAATTTGCTGGAAAAGAGGTCTTCATTCACAGAATTTGTTTCCGAGCAGAGAATAATTCAGAGTCACCAGTATCATTCGAACGAATTCAGTTTCCTGTTCGACCCTGTTTTGCTATGACAATAAACAAAGCTCAAGGACAAACACTTGATTTTGTTGGCATATATTTGCGTGAGCCGGTTTTTTCACATGGACAACTATACGTAGCAATGTCAAGAGCTAAGAATAGTAGTTCTATTAGAATTCTGATTAAACCATCCATATTTGATGATCAAGAAGACTCAATTACTGAAAATATAGTATATACAGAAGTGCTAGATTTAGCTTATCAATAATTCTCCCAACTATGTGCATAGCAGTTATTTATCTATATTCATGATTTTATGTCTCTTTTTCTCTTAATTCAGCACTTACCTATTCTTATTATGAGTTGCAGGAACAAAAAAATATGCTGTCATTTGCTGAAATAATTCCTGGTCTACAAAACTGGACAACTATGGTTCAGGTTCTAGACAAGCAGAAGCCATTACTCTCAAAGGCAGGAAACAGATACCAGAAGCTGATATTAATTGATCAGCAGGTAACGCAACTTCTCAATTCCAGATCATGTCGTTTATTACTCAATTTTCAGATTGACATCAACAAAACCATCCCTTTTCTCAGGGGACAACGGTTGAAGCAATGATTTATAAATCAGACATAGACTTTTTCCGAAACCATTTCCAGCTCTACAAACGATATGTTCTCTGCAATGCTAGAGTTGAGTACACACCATCAGAGTATTCCACTCGTCCAAATCAGTGTACATGGTACATAGACAATTCTACAGTTGTTCAAGCAGTAGATGAAGTTGACCCACCTCAGATTCCACCTGTCTTCAGATTCTCACCCTTCAGAAGATTCCACCAACATATCGATGACAACACAGATATAGGTAAGTAACAAATCTACTTGCTAACTTCCTGCTACATGTAATTTTCATCATACTTATCGCTCACCACATTTCAAAATCAGATGTCCTAGGCATTGTCGCTGAAGTCCATCCTCGGATAGAAAGGGCTACTACAGCTACTAGAGAAGTGGTACTTATAGATAAAAGGTATCTAAAACTATCTATTTATTCTATATCCATTCTGAACCACCACACATTGATAGAAATACTCTGTTCTAACAAATGTTTCATGTACCAATCAAACGCACTGCAGCATGATGCCAGTTATCCTGACACTTTGGGGCCAGCATGAAACAGATGAAGGCCAAACACTTGCAAATATAGTTGACACAATGCCACTGATTGTTGCACTTCGGATCAAAGTATCATCATATCACAGTGAGTACATAAGAAATTCATTATCCTCCACATATTTTCTGACATAAATCATACTCATAATACCATGTATATTATGAGCCATAAATATTGCAGCATTGAACCTGTCAACAAAATTTGGATCAAGCATTCTGCTTAACCCTCCAATACAACAAGCTGCTGATCTGAAACACTGGTGACAATTCTTCTCAGAAAATATTATTTTAAAATATTTTCTATTAAATATATATTTTATAGCTTACAAATAAAACTTCTCTCTTCACTCTCAAGGGCCGCTGAGAATGAGGCACAAATCAAAAAATTGATAGCAGAAAAAGCATACCACAACCGAGTTAAGCTTCTACCACAGCCAAGGGATGATGAGCTGACCACTATTCAAGACTTCCTCGCATTTCCCACGGTAAATTCTACATCTCATCATTTATTGCCAATAACATTTTCAGATTCCTAACTACTAACTATAATTCAATACAGAAAAAAGCTTACTGGTTGCGTGGTACTCCAAAATTGCTAGACAAAAGCCAGCGATTATGGTATAATGCTTGTCCACAATGCCATAAATCATTCAGAGCAAAGCCTATCTGGAAGATTGTTTGCACCTCATGCAACAAACATGTGAACATAGCTGCAAGGTGTCGATTAACTGTAGAACTTGCTGATTATTCTGGAGTTTTAACGCTTGATCTTTACGATAACGATGCTCTTCAGTTACTACCTTTCACACTTTCCCAGATGCAAGAGTTAGAAAACAAGGTAACAGATACAGTTTCTATATGCATATAGAATACTGTGATTAATAGCTAAGTATAAAATATTTCATGTTAACCTATTGATTTTAATTCCACAGCATGAACTCAACTATGAAGTCATTGAAGAAGCCATTAACAACACTCTAATAACATGCTTTGTGAAGAAAATGGTCAACAGCCATGCATCTGCCAGTACCGAAAAATACTCTGCCATCATTTTGCACAAAAGCTCCCTAGCAGAGGTTATATCACAAGTTAGATCGACCATTCCCTATTCAGAACCAAATCCAGAACTTGGTTCCACTAGTACCAATGAAAATGTGCAGAGTACTACTGTCAAAGAAACAAATGTGAATTCCAGTTCCCTGTCTACGCTTAAAATCACCGAGAGCCCAACTAAAAAGCAACGCAGCGACAAGTATCAAAAGGAAGATTGAAAATGTCATCTACTGGGGTTTGCTATTACATATTTTTGAAGCTCTGCTGCCTTAACTTTTGATTGGTGAAACTTTCTTGTATTTTGTGATTTGCAAATATTTTAGCAGCTTTTGTATAGCTTCTCAACTTCCCCTGCACTTTTGGTCAAGAATAGTTAGCTCAGCTTTTTGAAAGTGGAAATGTACCACAGTTTCATGTATAAAAAGTCCAGAAAAATGCTATCCAAACAATGCAATTTAATTTTGTTTTGGTGGTGAAAAGCTCAGAACATTTTACTTCTTCTTTTGTTAAGTAGATTTTCAAAATGAGTTTTTTACCTCTGTATCTTAGTCAGACATGCTGATTTTATTTGAGCTGTCAGAAGTAAGCTTGTTTTGCTGTCCAGTGCAGGTCAATATTCTTGTGAACTAATGGTTTATCGTAGACTTGAATGGCTGTTATAGCTATGTTTATGGCTCATGGCCAGTTGGCCACTACGAGGAAAAAACATGTTTTGATCATTTTAATCGTTAATACAGAATGCTTCTGATTCATAAAGAGGTCTAACCATTGCAAAACCAATAACTTCAATACTGAGAATCGCCAAATTGCAATAGGTAAAACAAGTGTGTAAGGTTGTCAGCTACAAAATTGAAATAGTCATGGCTTTAAAATCAGCAAATGGGAGAAGGAATTTTGGAAATAGGCTTGCTTTGAGATAATGAGAAGTTCAGTCCCAATCAAAGTTACAGAAACTGCAATAGGTAAAACAAAATGTTCTGAACTTTTGAAAGTGAAAATGGCTACTCAACTTCCTATTCCTTAACGCTTGGTTCCTCAAGCTTGAGTACAGTTTGCCATTCGCAAATATTTCAGCAGGTTTTGTACACTCCATCAACTTTCCCTGCATTCTTACTTGAACATTGTTACCTAAGCCTTTTCAAAGTCCAAACGTACCAGAATTCCATTTCTAACCACCACTTCCATCACAGGAACTCAACTCCCTTCACTGATTAATAACTGACCAAATACAAAAACAACTACACAAAGTACAAATTCCACGGAACTAAAATTGCTGAACACAATATCTAACCACAAACTTACACATACAACACATTAAAGTACAACAACAAACAATTCCATACTACAAATTATAAAAACTCATGGAAACATCCACAGCTATTCCCTACAAATTTCTACCAGGCGCATCAGAACATCCATCCATAGCACTTTGAATTGCTTTTCTCTGTTCTTCAACTTCTATTTCCATACGACCAGCAATGATCTGCAAAAATGGCAGCTCTCCAACATTTCCTAATGTACTTTCCAGCACACGAGCCTTCTCCGGATGTCGATAAAAAGATTTGAACAAGTCATATATCTCATTCCTAAGTAGAATATTATTTGCTAAAAGCCGATCTGCACCACTCAACATTCCATTATCTTCAGTATGCCCAGCCAAATTTCTCCGCACGCCACTTAGTGATAGCCGATTCAGCATAACTTCAACATCTGGATGCAAATCACGCAATACTCCAATACGATTCTGAGTATAACTCATATTAAACTGACAAAAAACGAAAAAAAATCAATGACAATATACCAAGTAAATAATAAAATCACGGAACTAAAGAATTTATACACAACAGGTACATGATAGACCCAAAAGAGACAAATACAAAAAATAAAATGATACTATACACATGTGAACCAAACAGTAATAACAAAGACATATGTACCAGACAAAAAAACACTATATACACGTGAATCCCCTACTTTTTCTACAAACCAAAACAAAAACAGTCAATCCTCAAAACAGATGTCAATCTCCCAAATATGAACTTCTGTCATTACATTGTCCCAACATTCATAAAAAGCTTCCTACTCTGTATCATCTTCAAACACACGCCTCTATCAACTTTAGCACATCTGCTCCAATCTGCTACAATTATTGATCATTCACTGATTCCAAATCTTATACATGCCATGGAACATATGAACATATCGGATAAATATCCTCTATTTTAAATTTCTAAACACATTCATCACTTTACAAATACAAATCTCTAAACACCTTGAGTTCATAAGTTTTGCTCTTGACTTAACTTCAGCTCCAAAAACTCGACCCTACATTCCCATGAATTTTCAACAATCCAAAAGTAATACATCTCATATTTTAAATTTTTTACAAATTTTCATTCCACACCATCGTAACAAAATCATACAAACAAAAACTTCAGTAACAAAATCATACAAACAAAAACTTCATTACTTTATACAACACATACAAATACATATGATGCTACTTTATGTAGCAAATACACCATTATCATATCCTTCACAACCTAACAAACACATCCGAATGGCTAAAAACCATATGCCAAAAACCAACAATATCCAAACTAACAAACACATCTTGCCAAACTCCAACTCTTTAATCACTGTCGCCACCCATGTCACTAGAAGATGGCGGACTGGGAAAGAAATACTTTTCTTCTAATATCTCTAGCCTCATTCTGTTGGCAATCAACCCCAAGATTGGATACCCTCTTCCAGTTCTAAACGCAGCTTCCAAAACTGAAGCCCAATCATCATGCCTGTAAAGCTCCTTAAACAAATCACATATTTCATTTTTCAGCAAAACGTTTGCTACTTGAGCTCGCGCAACAGGTTCTGCCGGACGATTTCGACACCCATTCCCCATAGGATAAGCTGCTCCACGAACAACAGCCAGCTGATTCACCTCTTCATCGACCTCTGGATAATATAACTGAACAGTAGGAAATCTTCCGCTTCCACTCGCCATCTCCACACACTAACTATCTACAGACATGTAATATAATATATACTACGTCTGACTATATAAGCTCCAAGTACTTAAGCAAGAAACAATACTACAGACCCGTGAATTTTCTGTACTTTCTACCTTACACGTCTCATACCACCTGCACACGCAAACAACTAGCTGCCATGCTATATATAAATACTAAATAGTAATATATAGTAATACTAATATATATAATACTAATATATACTAATACTAATATATATAATAGTAATACACAATATTAATTCATAATATATACTAATACCAACATATACACATAAAAATTACGCATTAATAATCCCCCCTCCACGTACAAATAATTAACTATTAATCTTCCATCCATCTAAATCAAACCATTTTATTCAAATAATTCCACGAGCATTATACTCTCCCACCCAACGCCTAAAGATATAATAATTGAAACTATATATAATATAAATAGTAATACATAGTAATACTAATATATATAATACTAATATATAGAACAGTAATTTACTTATAATTTAATAATTCACAAATACACAATATTAATTCATAATATATACTAATACCAATATATAATAATCCCCCCTCCATGTACAAATAATTAACTATTAATCCTCCATCCATCTAAATCAACCATTTTATTCAAATAATTCCACCAGCATTATACTCTCCCACCCAGCGCCCGCGCATTGCGCGGGCCAGTCCCCTAGTAAATTACATATGGGCGGGTGCTAAATCACTGTAAAATATAACAATTGCAAGTAAACTTTAATATAAATACAAAAAACTCTAAAAAAAAAATAACAATCCAGATAACCCCTTATATTTAGTAGTCAATGCAAATGTAGTTAATAGAAATTTAGTATCATCCACAGTGAGAGTGTGGACACTAATACACAGTGGTTGCAAAATTGCAATCCAAACAAGGCTAAATCTGTATACTATTTTACATCAAAATAGAACATTTTACCATTTCCCTGATTGTTGCTTTATCATTTGTTCATCAATCGACATTCACCCCAGTTTCTCAGTATCCCCATTCCCTGACTGGACTTGATTCGTTCGTTTGTGCCAAATAAATTTAGGGGGCGCTTGGTTCAAGTTTAAGAATCGAAATTGTTATTGGAATCATACAAAAAAAAAAAAAGTTAGTATGGATTTTGGGCAAAGATATGATTACAAAAGCGGGTGCTTGGTAAATATTATTGGTAGGGAATGGGCATCAATTTTCTTTTTTTCTTTTCATATATTTCTTCTTTCTCATTCGAATGTTTATCCCACATACATATCCACCATAATCCTATTGAACCAATACCCAACCATGACAATACCTATTGAACCAGCACCTAACTACCACCAATTAGTATCTACATTCAATTTTTGGTAAAGACAATGGAGCTTTAGAAGCAACAGTCCCAATGATGCAACAATAGCCGATGCAGATCCGGATTTTTATTTTGTCGAAGTTTATGACCGGAAATTGTGAGTATACTTGCATAATTTCAATCCCCCAATCATCAACACAAAGGAAGGCTCCCACAACAACTATATTTCAGCAAAAATAAAAAATGCAATTGGGTAGATAGTCAAGAGTAAGAGCCTTGGGAGCCTCGGTGCTACCATAGAGGATTGGAAAAGTGAATGACAAGAAGAGGGAAGTGACAGCCATGGATGATGGGGAGAATGAGCGACAAGGAGGTAAAGAGGTAGAAAGAGATTGATTTGCTGTTGAAAGCAAGAAGAGAGGACTACGTGAGAAAGAGAAGGGACCAGAAGCTTCTTTTTTTTTTTTTTTAGATTTTGGAATCAAATGTGGGATTCATTAAAACCTTCCAATCTAGTTGGGGTACTGAGAGTGGCTGGTTTTTTATAATTCATTTCAAGATTTCAAAATCCATACCCAATAGTCAAGCAACAATTACGGGACTCAATCCAATTCTTGATTCCTATACCTTCCAACCAAGCACCACCTTAGTACTACTCCAAAAAGAAAATGGGAAGAAAGAAGAGAATCAATAAGTTACTTAAAAAAAAACATACCAAAAACTAGAGAAATAAAAAAAAATATCATTTTACTATATAAGAATGAGTTGCGGTCAAAGGGGGATTTGAATTTCAACCGTATGGATAGGAGATTTTGAGGAATATGGAATGTTGTGTAATTTTTTAAAAACTTTTGATACAATTGAGGGCAACATATGTTTAGATATAGTTATCAAAATACCACCATTTTGGTACATTTAAAGTTTTGATTTATGGAGACATCTGAATATTTCTGAAATATGGAATTATTTTGCAATTGTTTTTGCATTGAGTACGACTCATATAAGCTCATGCATTGGTATAATTATTGAAATGGTATTATAGACACATTTAATTGAAATGTGGCTTTTGTTGTATAATTACCACAAAAATAAAGACATATTAACATATTGTGCAATTAACACGTTGGTATAACTAACCGTTTGAGGATATTCCTTTATCTGAAACAATTTATGTTTCTTCTTGCACGATTTTCAACTGACATCTGTAAGAGTTTTTTAGGAATGATAAAATTGTAAAAATATTGATAAAATAAAATGTACAAATATGTGTTGTAATTAAAATATACTACTATTATTAGATTTATCATATTTATTATTTAATGTCTATTTCTGTCAAAATATACTATTATTTATCTAATAAAAAATTTTATTTAATCACAAGCACCAAACAACCACGGATGCGCGGGCACTCCTCCCTAGTTAACTGTATAAGGAAAGGAACCACGATTGGATGGTTGGCTCCATGTAAAACTTTCAACGGCTCTCTTTTCCGGCTCCAACGGTCACTTCGCTTTTGAAACATTATTATCATCAGACTCGCACCGTTTAGTACTATCTGATGCGAACCCACCACTAGGCACCCTCCACCCTCCATCCCGCCTCCTTGTCTTCTATATAAAAACTCACCCTTCAATCCCCTCCCCGCACCCATCTTCATCTCATATCGCTGTAATCATCCCCCCACCACCATCTAACATTCTCTTAATATTATCCAAATATTCCTTCCATTTCACCCTCGCACTTCTTTTTTCTGCCCACACACTAAACTATGTGCAGACGGATTTTCTTTGCTTTTTTATTATTCTTGTGTGTGTCGTATTCCGGTGAGGCACAGACGACCCCTCATGCTCCTGCACCGGCACCCAAGTTCACCAATGTGTCTCCGGCACCCTCAAAAACTCCCGTGCCCGCAGCTTCTCCGGCTAGCTCTCATGCATCCCCGGTTCCTTCTCCATCTCCGAAGATTCCTCCGACAATCCCTGCGGCTTCTCCCAAAACCAGCCCGTCTGCTTCCCCGGTACAGTCTCCGGCAGCTTCTCCCAGAGCCAGCCCGTCTGCTTCTCCGGTACAGTCTCCGGCAGCGAGCGCTCCACTTTCTCCAGCGCCCACTCCGTCGTCCAGTGCGTCTGCACCGGTCCCATCTCTTTCTCCGTCGGCCGAATCCCCGGTAAATGCTCCGGCAGTGTCACCGCCTGCATCATCTCCATCTGGAAGCCCGGCGAGTTCTCCAGTTCCGGCCACTGCAGAGGTTCCATCCGCCGGTGCCAGTGTTCCTTCCACTTCTGCGACACCGGCAGAGTCGCCGGCGATGTTCCCTTCGAGCAGCAGCCCGCCAAGTCGCTCACCGGCTGGGACGAGTTTGGCACCGGAAACTTCGCAAGGCCCAGTTGCTGATGAATCGAGTGCGACCTCCATTCATGGGGGCCTAACTGTTCTTGCTGGGATTGCTCTATCGGCCGGTTTTGTCATCTAAGAGTCTGTAGAAGTGTAGAACACGTAATTTTTGTGGTTACCGGTTCCCTTTTTTTTTTTTTTTTTTTCCAGATATTTCCTGTAATTGGTTTCCAGAGATTATTCACGTCATATATATATATTTTTCTGCCGTATAGTTTTTTGTTGTTGGACACAGCTCTTGATCTTAATTCACCAGGGCAATAAATTTATACTATATATATATATATATATATATACTGGATTGCTTTACGTATCATTATTTATTATGGTTGTGAATTCTATTGGATATAATTTAAAAGTTTTGGTCCTTTTAAATAAATTGTAAAATTATCCTGCATTGAAGCAAAGTGGCCCAACCAGTTTTTTCACCATAACAAAGCACATAAGCAGTGATGGCTTATTTTAAAAATCCAATGACCCCGACCTGTTGTGTATTTGTATCCTCTTCATTCATATTGTTATTGGTCCTTCCACTTTCGTGAACTTACATTTACTTCATCTTAACCTCCTCCCTGGCCGACAAATATTATGAAGAGCAAATTACTTGGATGGCCATCAAACTTTTGAAATCGTCGAGTTTTGACTATTGAATTATGAAAAGTATAATTTTAGTAAGTGAAGTATCTAAGGTTTAGATTTTAGATTATTTTATTAGATTTCGTCATTAAGCATGGTAGATTTCAATGCTCACACAATTTACGAGACAAAACAAAGGGGCATTGTTAATGATTAAATTTAGTGGAATGGCTTAAAACCTGTAATTTAATGGCTAAAACTCGACGATTCCAAAAATTCAATGGTCATTCGGATAATTTGCTCTATTATGAAATATAATAGGTTGTACCATTGTGGTGGTAGTACACATTTTTCTGAAAATGGAAAAGAATGCTGATTTTTATATTTATTGGTGGTAGTACCAACAATTTTCATTTTTATTTTTATTTTTTGGCATGGTTAGAAAATTGAGAAAATTGATCCCAATAAGAAGTTGTACAGGCTGTGCAGATTTTAGCATTGTTGGCCAATCTTGCAGTTTAGAACTCCTGAAAACGGTACAATATTTGTGAGAATTGAAGCTGGCCTTGCAACCATGCTAGATGCTTTGGTGTAGCTATCCGGAGCTTCTTGCCCTGAAGCAGTAAATCTAGCCCCGTTGAGCATGAGATCTTCCTCTGATCTCCAATTCCAATTTTTCCAGTCCTCATATCCCAATGGGCTCTCCCGTTTTGTAACCTGATTTCAGATTTTGCCATCGAAAAAAACACATAGTTATAGCCTATAGTTTGCATGGGAACTCCAGTTAGCAAAATGAATATTCGTTTTGATTTCTTGATCTCGTAATGATTACACGGACCAAGAGTGATTCACGATGCATCAGCAAAATTGACTTGACAATGCAAGAGATTACCTCCTTTGTTTCATCATCATTTGAGGCAATGAAGACATTGCCTTGGCTGTTGATTGTTGGATTGGCACTTCCTCCTATTGCATACATCTCCCAACCAGTGTATACATTGTTGACAATGTGAAAATAACCATGCCTACACCTGCAAAATATCAGACAACAAGGCCAGCCTCGTTATGCTGAAACTGCAATGGTTTCAGATCATGGTTTCTTTTATGGTTCAGCTGTAGAAAACGAGCTGATCCTGAGAAGTTTGTTCAGAATAATTCAAACGGCTGTATTTTTTGTTTTTAAAGTTCAGAAAATTCATGAGCAGCTCTGATGTTTTTTTTTTTATCAGCACAAAGCCTAAACATATACCTGGGCATTCTCTGAATAAGACCTTCTCCAAAGTAATTGAAGGCAATGGTAACTTGCATGTTCTCGTCAGCGGTGAAATTGTCATTGTGACCCAAGAGCATGACTTCGTTATGCTTAAACATGTAGTTGTTAGAAATGGTTATCGCGGTTGATTCAAACACTGCATCAATAAGTCCATCATGGCAGCTAGACAGCGTACAATGGTCGATCCAAATATCTCTAGCAGCAAATATTGATATTCCATCCCCATCTGAAATACCCCTCAACTCATAATGATTCGGTCCATCTGCAATCACAGCATTTCCAGCTTGCACACAATCATGTATATAAATGCCATGGATAATGATATTCGTGACATTTTGTATAGTGATGCATGGACCATTAGATATCTGCACATTATGTCCTCGACCATCTACGGTCTTATAAGAGTTCATCAGGAGTTCTTCGTCAAGGTTAATGTCCATATCATGGTCAAATATAATCCATAGAGGCTCATCTTGGATGACAGCATGGCGGAGCATGCCAGGGCTAGGATTTTTGGGATCATCCGCTTCAGTTGTGACAACATAAAAGTCGCCATCTCGGCCTCCAACAGCATTGCGCCCGAATCCAATGGCACAATCAGCTAGCACTTTTCGGTTGGTTTCCCAATCAGGGTCACATCTCCAGCAATCGTCAATGGGGTTGCCTGTTCTACATGATTCTGTTCCTGGTTGAGTAGTTGAGTTCTTTGTTGGCCGCCTTCTTAATCAAATATGTAAACAAGAAGCATATAGTTAGGCTCTACCCAGTCAAGCGCATTAACCAGAAATGAAGAATGCACCGTAAAATGAAGTCATGAATGAATATTTACCATCCTGTTGCATCAGACATTGGCATAAAGGGACGTGCTGAAGATGTCATACAGGCATAAACCGAAATGAGAAGGGGAAAAAGACTGAAAATTGACATTTCTTGGAAGGAAAGGGAGGAGGGGAAGCGATGTTGGAGGCGAGGGGGAGATTAGGTGTAGGCCAAAACTGACTAAAGATACTATAGAAATGCAATAATCAGACTACATTTTATACAAGTCGAACAGCTTTCCATTGGCACAAGTTGTCTGCGAGAATTTTGATATTAGGTATTACCTTATTCTAGTTGTTGTCGCCGATGCCTTGTGGGGTGAATGGAAGGCATCACTTAGTACTAGTAGGTGGAAAATTGAAGATCGTATTTGCTGGTTGCAAAAGCTGTTGGCTTGGATTTAATACATGAATTGTTTGCGGAAATGGGTCGAAAATGGAAATATGGAAGATGTCATTGATTAAGATATTGATGATGAATTTCTATCACAAGACAGAAAAGGAGGCGCCATTGACAGGATTGATCCATTGATTACATCGTTTACCCTCTTTGTTTTGGGGCCACACAGCACATTTTTCCAGAATTCGACTGTAGTGTGGAGGTGTAACTGGATTTAAAATCCAATTGTAAAAATATTTGCAGAAAAAACTTTTGGATTTCTATGAAAACATTTTTCTTCATATTTTTCAGTCAGCTTTTTTTTTATTGAACTTTGTCGTTTAAAAAATAAAAATGCATTTATTAAGTCCTGTACTTTACGATTGAGAAAATCTGCCAAATTGACCCATACTTTTGATTCTCTACGTACAGTGATGCCCTGGACTTTATACTTCCACGCCTTTAGGTAATGACTAGGAGAATCGCATTGGAGCAGTAATCACGTTATACTGAAGAGTCGGATGGCTCGAATCACGTTATACTGAAGCATGTTGGAGTCCTCAAGGCCGGTTACAAATTATAATTCTCGATTCCACTCACAAGCCTTCTCCTGTCTCTTTTTTCTTATAAGGTTTAGAGCCTCTCTTTGATGAGACAAAAAAAGGGGTATGGGAATAAGGTGACCATTTCTACCCTTTGCCCTCCTGTATCATGGATAGTAAAAGTTCACTTGACCGTGCTATTCCACAAAAGGACAAAAAAGGGTTTTTCTTTTTCTTTTTTTTTTTTTTTGTGAGAAAGGCGCGGGGGTGGTTGGAAGGAAGAGAGGCCGAGAGAGTAGCGAACGATGCTTCGACATTTTTCTCAGCCAACGAGATGGTTAGCGATTTGGAACCACTACATTTTTTTTAGAATAAAAAAAATTAAGAATTCAAATCTTATCTCCCGTCAAAAGTTTTCATTTAGGGTCTGTTTGGTTGGAAGTAAAATGTTTTCCTTGGGAAAATATTTTCCGTGGAAGTAATTTTTCATGAAAATCATTTCCCTTTCATCATTTTCAGGTGTTTGGTTAGCTTATTGAAAATATTTTCTTACTTCATTTTTTTGGTGTTTGTTTAACTTTTGAAATATTTTCACTTTTATCTCTATTTTTACTTTATACACATTATAACTACATACTTCTTCCCATGCAAAATAAGAAAATTTATCTCATTGTTTAACTTTAAAAAATCTTGGAGAAATGTATATATGAATAAAAAATATCTCCTTAAGCAATAAACAAATTGCTGGCCATTTAGTGTCAAATATCAATCACATGCAATGCTTATTGTGACATATATCTTGCACTCTCACTGCTGAAAGTTTCTCTAGAAAAGAATGTCCCTATTATATATAATTAATTACTAGCATAGGATGAGCAGGATGAGATTTTTTTTTTTATTTTGAATATACTAGGGGGAGGGTTGGGTTGGGTTGGGTGGTACGGGGGAGGGAGTGTAAGGAAGAGGTCTTGGGTTCGAGTCATCCTATTTACACTAAAAAAAAAAAAAGAACATACTACAAGATGTTTTCAATAAGTTTGGAACTACTACAGACGGGATGCATGCATTTCGGAAAACAACTTCAGTAAGTTTGAAAGGGAAGTTGTTTTCCATAAGATGAGGGAAAATATTTTACATAGGAAAATGTTTTCAGTAACTTTTGTGCAACCAAACACGGGAAATTAGGAAAATATTTTCCCGGAAAACATTTTCACCTGAAACAAACGGACCCTTAATGTCACTTCTTTTAAAATCCACACGGATAGGTTGAGAGAGATGGTTAGCGACTTGGCGCATAGGTTGCCTGGCAATGACTTTCTGGAAAGTTAGAAGCCGACTTTCCCTTTCTGCTTTCATGCATAAAAATCCCAGCATTGTTTTTTTCTTTTTCATTATTTTGACGTGACCTTTCCGATTTAATGAAAAACCCGTCA